GCCCCTCCTCCGCCTCCGCCTCCACGCCCGCCTCCCCCGCCCGCGCCTCCACCTCCCGCATCCCCCGCCACGGCGGCGCCGGCGACCCCGACCACCTGCCCCGCCTCACCAGGCAGCACCGCCTGCGCCATGTCGACGACATCGAGGTCGGGGCCTCCGCGCTCCGCCTCGACGACCCGCACGCCGCCCCGCCCTCCTCCTCCTCCTACCCCGCCAGGAGGGACGCGGTCTGGTCCGGGCTCGCCACCGCCAGCTCCACGCCGATCTCGAGGTCCCCGAGCAGCATGATGGAGGCGGCGCCGGCCAGGTCGTCGTCCACGCCCATGCTGCTGCCGCACCCTCTGCCGCTGCCCCACCATGACGACTCGCCGTGCCGAGGGCCTGGGAGGCCGCTCCCCTCCCCGAGGATGTTCGACGGGGATTGCAACGGGTCGGCCGAGTTCCTGGGGGTTGCAGAGACTGGAGGCGAGAGGCCGTCCACGTTTCCAAGGTGGGGATGCATTTTGTTTGTTTTGTACTTCCTCCGTTCCAAAATAAGTGACTCAACTTTGTACTAACTTTAGTACAAAGTTGAGTCCTTTGTACTAACTTTAGTACAAAGTTGAGTCACTTATTTGGACGGAGGGAGTACTAGTTTAGTACATGCTTCAAGCTTCCTTCCTTTGCTGTTCAAGTTCGTATAAACAGCGTAACCTTGTTAGTTCTGTTTTAGTACTGATGAAGCGATTAGGGTGTTAGCAAGGAGGCCACTAGCAGTGATTTCTGAATGAGGTTGGGGTTACCAACAATATGGGCATATAAGAAGGCATGACACATGACACTATATACTAAAACTGCCACACTAGTAGCATTTCGACCACTTTGCAGGGCAGAATGTTTTGAGGTTGGTGAGAACAGTTTAGGTGAACAATAAGATGACCAGGGAAGATGGCCTTTGCTATAGTCTAACCATGTTGACGGTCTGAAATTAGCTTGGATTAGGGCTTCAGACATACATTGCTGCATAGTTGCATTCTACCAAGAGGGTTTTAGGCTTTCTGTGAACTTATTAGCTTATGACCAGGAGATCATAGCACCTTAGCAAAAATTGGATGATATGTCACGAAGAGTTATTGTGGTTTTGGACCCCCAGAACGAGTTGAGACAATTTGCTGTTTGGTGCTATGATACCCCATAACATTTTTACTTGATGATGCTTGGTTAAGCTACTTGCCAGTTTATTAGATCTTGACATGAAAAAAAGGCTGGCTCAGATTGTGATTTTTAACTGATGAGTGACTGAGATTGTTTCAGTACTGAAGTCAGTGAAGTGTAATTTGCTTTGATTAACTTCCATGAAGCTGCTAGTAAAGAAGATTGTACATGAACATGATTATTAAAAAAAAAACTGTTGTCATGCCACACTGATCAGATTAACTCCATATCCATGTTTCTGATGTTGTTAATGTCTCTGGTGATAGATTTATGCCCCACCAAACTGTTCAAAAGGTTCACGAGCACAATGACTTACGGTCAGCTGGCACACATGGGGCCACCTGTGGCCAACGGAGAAAGACATATAAAGAGAAGTTCCAGGATGGTCCAACTGAAACTTTGAACTTTAGGTTGAATATTCCTGCTAAAAGTGCCCCGAGCAGCGGGTTTTCAAGTCCTGTACAGAGTCCTCGAAGGTTGAGTAATGTAGACTTCTCATCTGCTGCAATATCCATCCAAGGTAGCAATATATTGTCAGCACCATCACCATGGTCTTCAGATCAATCAGGATCTTCACCCCCTTCCACCTCACCTGAAAAATTTGTGGGTGGCCAGGAGCGATCTCCTCGCTCTAGTCCTTTGAGAAGTCCTGCTCTTAGATCAAGATACCCAAGTGCACCTCCATCACCAATGCATACAAACTTGTTCCCAGAGAACCACACTTCTCGTCCTGAGGGCAATCTGAGTGCCAATCTTCACCCATTACCTCTTCCTCCTGTTTCAATGAGCCCAAAGCAAACAAATTTTGGCCACCCGTCAGTTCCAAAAGTCGAGACACCCTCAATGGCTGGTCAGTGGCAAAAAAGGAAGCTCATCGGCAGTGGCACATATGGCTGTGTATATGAAGCTACCAATAGGTATGTTATATTTCATTTTTGTTGTAGTAATCGCTTCTCTAAATTTTGAACATACCATCACACCAACATACAGGCACACCGGAGCTCTTTGTGCCATGAAAGAGGTTAACATAATTCCTGATGACGCAAAATCAGTTGAGTCTTTGAAGCAATTGGAACAGGTTCGGCCATACTTGTTTTGATGTTGCTTATTTCTGCTTATGGAGATCATTAGTCTTGTTCAATGTGATTGTTTAATGTTCTCTTTTCTTGTTGAGGATTAAGAAGCATATTTTTACTTATGCTCACATTTGGTTTGTCTTCCTTTTACCACTATACAATACTTCTTAAGTATATGTAAAACTCTGACCATACTTGTTTCATTTTTCTGAACTTGGTTGGGTAATAACTGTATACCACTATTTTCTTATGCTATCTAAGGATCATGCAATTATGCACTTCGTCTGATTGCTCATCACCTTTGTTTCAGGAAATTAAATTCCTTAGCCAATTTAAGCATGAAAACATAGTGCAGTACTACGGCAGTGAAACTGTAAGTTCTACTTGCCCACACCGAGGGAATTAACAGTGCTATATAATTTTGCTATTAACGGTGATATGGGCACCTTGCAGACTGAAGATAGATTCTACATATACCTGGAATATGTTCATCCGGGTTCAATTAATAAGTACATTAGTAAACATTGTGGTGCAATGACAGAATCAGTTGTCCGCAACTTCACTCGCCATATCCTTAACGGTCTTGCTTTCCTCCATAGCCAAAAAATTATGCATAGGTAATTTTTCTTTTTCATTATTTGTTCTTTATCTGATAATTGTTCGCCACTGGCTGTTTCCTAACTTTCTGAACCTAACCTTTGTTCAGTTTTTTACATTATCTCTTGTTTTTCCCTTATACCATTTGTCAGATTGCTTGGTCCTATTTTTCCCTTCCAACTTTATTTTGCATTCAGTTCATTTTGTTTTCTTGAGCCTCTTGTACAGCTCTATCCACATCTCAAGGGCTGATTCTGATCCCATTATTGTCTGTTAGCAAGTATTGGTTGGCTAAAATGACACATGGATGATGGATGTAGATAACATTATTATACTTTTGCAGGGACATTAAAGGAGCAAATTTGCTTGTTGATGTCAATGGCGTGGTTAAATTGGCAGACTTTGGAATGGCTAAGCATGTGAGTTCCACTTTGCGTCTTGGCTTATAATTTTTGACAGCACTGGCACTTTGCACATAAGTACTTAGTAGTCACTTTAATGTCTCGTCGGCTCGTAAGTACTCAGTAGTCACTTTGAGAAGGATTAGACACAGATGAACATTTGCCTACCTTTAATTTTACGTCGCATTATGACCACCTGAGCATTATGTCTGCCATAAGCTGTTAATCGTAATTTTGACATTTGATATGAGTACTTGGTAAAACATTTCAATATTTCTTAGTTGGATTGGACCATTGGTTATTATTTCGAAGTAGTTTGATATGACATTAACTTTGGTATTCCTTACTTCTATAGTTATATTTTTAGTGCATACCCTGAGAGGCAATGAATTTACTATTACACCGTTTATTTTTCTCTTGGACCTGCGCTTTCAGGTTTTTCTTATTTGCCATGGTGCTACTTTTGTAATTAATTTGCTTGACTGTTTCTTCTTCTTTTCAGTTGAGCACTGCAGCTCCAAATCTTTCACTGAAAGGAACACCATACTGGATGGCCCCTGAGGTGCGAACTAGTTAGTCTTTATATTAATCATAGTTTTCCTTTTTCCTCATCATGGTAAGGTTAATTTCGGATTCTCAAGCGTAGTAGGCATTGTTTTATTTACTGACGTGCAGAAAATACTTGTGCGTTCTAATTTGTTGGCGACAGCCAAAGTAAACTGCATCACAGTTTCTGTTGGATACCATGTAAATGTAATGCATTAGTCCACTGCACTACTTAGGAACACATATAAAGCAGTTAAGCCTGTTTTAGCGAGTCTCGTGCTCATCGAAAGGTTCCAGGTTGTAGCTGGGTCTGTTAGACCAAATAGGGCTACCTCCACTCTTAGGCTTCTTCAGTTGGAGCTAGAATCACCTTTTTGCATACCAAAAAGGCAAAAACACATCTAGGGGCCTTGAATTGTTCCATCAGTTTCACATTTCGTTTAGAAAAAAACTATAGGAAGGTGATACATTGATAGTCCCACCCAACTGGGCATTTCAATAAGGTTTGTTTGATCCACCCAACAATGGGATTTGTCCTATATACATTCATCCCACTTCCAAAACTACTGGCTACCCACAACTCCAAGTCAATGGCAATGCAGCACTTGGTTCGGTTCGGTTCCGGCACCCTCGCTGTCTTTCCTCTGCCATGTAGGATTGACACGCCTACTCCATACCTCGTGTTGGATGTCGTGATGTTGTTTCCAAGAAATAAAGGATGATGGTGACGGCATCACACTCCTCCATCCACCTTTACCTGTGTCTCCTTCACACTTTCATGCTGGACCGCAATCGCTACTGCCTCTTCTGAGTCAGATTTGGGCACCACCAGGAGGATTCAGAAGGAACTCAATGGTGGAATCTTCAATCACGAGTTCCACAACCTTCAACACATACGGCGATATCAAGGATAAGTACAGGTTGTTGATGGCTGTCAGAGCCAGCTAAGAGTGATGGATAAAATCTTCTGTTTAGTGAGGAGGTCGATTTTTTTGTCTCTGTAGTTTCCTCTCTCTAGGTTCTGTATAAGGGAGGTTGTTTTCATATATTGGGTCGTTGTAAACTCTTTCTTGCTTAATATATTCACGTGCAGCTCTCCTGCATGTTCGTGAAAAGATTTGGGAACCACCATGGCTGTGTAGATAGTCACTCTTAATGGAGCTTCTGTTATGATGTATGCTTTTTGCTTCTCTTCTCACACACCCTCAGTCTTGAGGTCACCGCGGTCGATATGCAGCTTCACCCTTGTAAAATGGCTGTAAATACGTTATCTTAAGAGAAATTTAACCACAGGGGTCTACCCTACTGTTTCCTTGTGAGTAATTAACTGAAACTAGCTCAAAACCTCCTGAAACTTTGTCAAAACTTTCTGACAACTACATGATAGCTCAATTCCAGGGATCTGAAACTTGCTGAAATCCACATGAACTTGCTACCCTGTTGTAGGTTTTGAAACCCATATGTTAGAACTTTGTTCTGAAGCCTGAAACATTCTTGTAACGCAGTAGCAAAATCTGAAACAAAAAACGTGGTTAAAGGGGAACGGATCCCTCCCTTAACTGCACATTGTTAGATAGAAGATGAGACCTTTCTGCGGATTTCACGCAGATAGCACCCCACAGGTTCGAACGCTGGTCGGTGAGTTTACCACCGTAAACTCTAGCCACCGAGCTAGCGCTCGGTTCTCGTGAAACCTGAAACCTGAGTTTGTTGATACACGAAACTTGCCGAAAGCTTGCTGCTGAAACTGAATTTTTACTGAACCATGAAGCTTGACTCCTAAAGGAATGATGCTTTAGTGCAGTCATCGTCTCATTGCGCATGAGGAAGACCAACATGGTTATAGCCTGTGCTGCATTGATGGCATGTGACAACACCTTGAAAAGGTCTGCTAGAGGTGGACATCACACTGACAATGCCAGCAAGGTATTTACAGCATATTCCCCTGGGCCTGCATTGAGGCCATGGCAAGTTCTCAACCGTTAGTACCTGCAGGTGGATGATTTTGGGACTAAAGCACTTGAGATGGTGTGAGTTCGGTTCTCTGATTAGGTTTGACCAAGTGGTTGATACCTATCCTGTCTAGCCATGCCAATAATTTTTAACATTTAAAGATTGAACTGCATTTGCGCAATGTAAAATAATGACTTCTCAAGCAGAGAAACTGTGTGTAGCCCACCAAAAATGCTTACATCCATTTCATGTAGTCTTCTTGTGGACATGGCGCTCAGGCAAGAAAAGCAGATGTTCCAAATTCTCAAAAGCGATTCATGCATTTAATGGAACTTTATTTTCATGCAATGTGTTTGCTACAGCACCTAAGAGAGCTGATTTCTCGAACATTCAGCCTGCCTAAGGTATTATAATTTCCATAAAATCACGCCAATAACTTAAACATGTGAACAATATGCTCAGGGGATGCTTATCATCCCACATAGATTAGATTTTGTGACGACCTTTACTAACTTTATATGTCTTGAAATTAAGAAAGAACATCCACTTAATAACATCCTTAAACTACAGAAGTTCACGTTTCAACCTTAAATTCGTAAACCATTTATTTCCAGTCTTGAACCCTGAACTACCGTAAAAGGGCAAGAAAACACCGATTTCACAATTTATGGTTGAAATAAGCAGTTTACATGTTCAAAGTGAAATGTTAACTTGTGTCTTGTGCAGTAGTTCAAGATTGCGAAGTGTTTTTTTTCTTCTAAATCTGATAGCATTTTTGGTTTGCACTCTTGTTTGATATGAAATCATTTAGTTTGAATGGATATTTTACTGTAGAATCACATCATTGGGCATACTGCTAAGTTGGCATTTAGATTTACAAATTCTTTGGTTTTGCCTTTTGGTTTGTTTCATAGAGCTGTAAGCTGCATCTCATTGGTCATTGCTTATATGGCACAGTCACACTTGCACATTTGTATCCCAGGTTGTCCAGGCTACACTTGTCAAAGATGTAGGCTACGATCTTGCTGTTGATATCTGGAGCCTCGGTTGCACAATTATTGAGATGTTCACCGGCAAGCCTCCTTGGAGTGGTCTTGAAGGGGTAAATAATTCAAACCTTTGTCCGTTTTGTAAAATCAGGATGTGTTGTATGAGTTGGACTTATGTAATTAGGGTAGCTCGCTTCTCATTAGTTAGTTTTGTATATGAATGATGATAATTGCCACACATTGGTACATTGGTCTAAATAAAATTGCGAATGGAGAAGTAATGTACTCCCTCCGTTTTTTATTTACTCCACATATTAGCTTTTTCTAAAGTGAAACTTTACAAACTTTGACCAAGTTTATAGAGAAAAATATTAACATATACAATACCATAGATTCATCATTGAATATATTTTCACATCATATTCATTTTTTGCTGTAAATGTTCGTATTATTTTCTATGAACTTGGTCAAACTTTATAAAGTTTGACTTCAGTCAAAGTTAACATGCGGACTAAATAAAAACGGAGGGAGTATGTCAACATTTGGGTATTTCCCTTCCCTGTCTTGGGATTCTGAAGCATGGAATCTGCTTGTCTGTGGTGCAACAGCCTGCCGCAATGTTTAAGGTGTTGAATAAAGACCCACCAATTCCAGATAATTTATCATCAGAAGGGAAGGATTTTCTGAAAGGCTGCTTCAAGAGAATCCCGTCTGAGAGACCTACAGCAAGCAAGCTGCTTGAACACCCATTCATCCAAAATTCAAATCACTTCAGCCAGCACGTTTCTGTACATTCTCCTGCAGGAAATAAATCCCCAGTAAGCTTGCCTCAGTTGCTGTATCCCCTTGAGTTTCGAGATTTTTGTGGACGTTCATGACTTTTCATGTTAATGCCAGGATGCTGGACACTGTTCAAGAGAAAAGAAGTCCTGGAAGACTGAGCCTTGTGTGAGAGGGAAACAGACAAATACAAACGGGTGTGTACTTTCTTCACACTTCTCTGTCTGTAATTTGATGTTTGATCTGTTCATGAAAGGTTTGCACTATTACAGATCTTGACCTTGTTATTCTTTTATTGCCTTCCGACCAGCGAAACAAGCAGCTCTAGATGTCCCGGGTCATTGGGTCATCGTTTGACCGCCCCAACCAGCTTGGATACTCATAGCTTGTCCCCTCCACCGACGAGTTATAAGTCTAGTTCTGGTTCTTCAGCTCATAATACACCGAACGGCATGCATTTTTCAATCGCATACCCTCAGCCCAGTCCACTACCGAGGCCTAACGGAAAGGAATCATTAAACATGTTTTCGTATTGAAGAAGGATGGGCAAGCAGTCGTGTAAAGTATCGATGTAAAGAACGTCCCCTCGGTAATGATTGCAATGGGATATGTGTATGCTTATTTTCGGGGGAAATGTGGTGATCCCTTTGTAGCAAATTGTTTAGGGTTAGCTGTAGGTATAGCTAATGTTCCTGATTGTTGTCAGCACATAGGACATTAGGGTTGTAGTTGTAGCCTGTGTGGTGTTCATGTTGTAATCATGCCTCGATGTAATCATTTTTGATGATTTTTTGGGGGGGTCTTGAGTAATAATATGCGTGAATTGGCAACAGGAGATCAAGATAGACAATGTTTGTGTCTGTGCTCTCTGGGTTCAAAATTGGAACGTATGGTGTATTGTTCAGTGGTGGTAATTGCTTGCTCATTTGTTGTGGTCACGAGGTCCATGCTGGTTATTCTCCCTTGGCTTGATGAGCTTATTTATCATCACCCGATGGGCTACTTGCAGTTGTATCTTCAGTGGTATGTAAGTTCCAGGCAAATCTATGTGTCTCTGTAGAACATGCGTTCTCCATAGCCACGAAATAGCCTTTGGCAGTGTGATTGACACGATAATGATAAAATGATACAACGTCATGGATTCACGGCAAGCGATCGCCTCCAGCGTCTCGGGATCGTCGACTCCCTGAAACACAAATGCAAGGCCGAGGCTCCCAGGTATTGCCCTTGCGCGTCGCGAGCAGCTGCCGCAACCGTGCCCATTGTTCATTCTTCCA